GAGAGAGAGAGAGAGAGAGAGAGAGAGAGAGAGAGAGAGAGAGAGAGGAAATGGCCAGAGAGAGAAAGAATTGATAATTATGTACATATGCAAATATATAGGTAATGGCAAAATTTTTAACCAGTAATCTTCACACACAACAGAAGGTGATGTCGATTCAGACCCACTGTTTCCAACGCTGATGTTCTTTCTGTTTCTGCCAAAAGCTAACAGCATTCACAAGTATTAGCAGTAAGAGCTGCAAGAATCTGCCTAAGATGCATTATGACATAGTTCACACTTGACTCGACCTCCACTGGCAGCAGTTCCTGAGAATAATGTGAAGGAAATATTCTTGCTCCATCATGTTTCTACCATACCATCAGCCCCGCAAAGAAAGAAACAGAGGAACTCTCCCAGCTCCTTCTACCCACATATGTCTCACTTCTGAACCTAGGCAGGGAGAAGGACGGCCCCCATCTCTTTAGTCCTTCCGTGTGAGACTGGAGTCACCCCATGGAGACGTGACAGCTTGGTCATTCGTAGAACATTCAACAAAAACGAAACTCACTTTATCTGCTCAAGAACCCATTTGCACGCTTAGAAATTTAGTAGTTCCTTTAGCAAGCATTTGCCAAGGGCCTATGTTTTTCCAGGCATCCTGCTAGCAACTCCGGATATAGAAAGTAAGAAAACAATTCCTACCCTCAGGGAGGGCAGTGGCTAGTTGAGCAGATGATGGCCAGAATCAAACTGATGGAGAAACAAATGACTGCAGTGCAATGTGGAAGTCTGGTAAGAAAATTAGGCAAAACTGTAGCAGGGAGGAAGAACACAGAGAAAAGAGCTCACAGCTCTTGCCAAAGGCATTTGTATGTGGGACACTTTTTAAGACACACAAACTTTGTAAACCATGTAACTGTTTATCTCCAACTTATTAAAGCCCTGGGAGAAATGCTGTATTCCGCAGTTCAAAAATGAGTAAAGTTCTGCCCTGCAGACCTTCCCACAGTCACACTGATAGGGAGCTTCTCTGGTCTACTGCTTAGCTCTGTTAAGGACAGCATTGATACTAGAGGAAATAACACAAAACTCAAAGTAAAGGAAGAGGCAAGATTAGAACCACTTGCCTGGATTACAACTATGTTTATGTATCCAGAAAACTTCAAAGCATTTACTAAACTGTTGGGCTGTTGAATAAGAGACTATAGTAAGCCCCAAGGTTTTCCTTCATACAAACAGCAGTCAGAACAAAATGTGTGATGCTGTTATTTACCATAGAGTAGCAAGAAATGAACAGGAAATGTCAGATGTACATTCTGATACTTCTGATGGTAACAATGGTGTAAGTGATTTGGAACAAGCACTCTCTGTGAAAAACAAGCTCCTAAAGATGGCAAGCACTTTGCCCCATAGAGTTCAATGAAGACAGTGCCCATCTCAAAGATGTAGGTGAAGGATTGTCTTAAATAAATTACATTTTTAGAGGACTTGTTACACCCAGGACTGTACGGAGACAATTCGAAATGAAAAGAAGCCCTTCAAACCTTCACGTGAAATAAATACAACTACTTTGCAGAGAATGCGGGCGATTTCTTATGGAATATGAAAGATGATTTGTCATGTAACACTAAAGATCCCAATGTGTGCAAAGTAATATAGGCACGTTGAATGTAGCATGGTCTGGGGTAACAAGAAACAAACAAAAAATGTTTATCCCCTCAGTAAGGTAAATTGTAATGCATGACTACAATGGAATCCTCTGTGACTTCTGCAATACACCTTTGATCTGTATGTCTTAATATGAAAGTAAGCATTAATCAGCATAATGTTTTATTTTATTTACTAATTTGGACATGTGACAGGTTGGATTTCTGGGCAAGAAACACAACGATGATACAGACATTCATCTATATATCTAGGCATCTATCTATCTGTTTATCCCTCCTTTCTCTGTGTTCTCTCTGCTGCATCCTCAGTAAACCGAACAATGCTTGGGAGGTGGTCAGCGCACAGTACAAATATCTTCGGTGAATGAATCAATTTAAAACTCTACCTTGTGTCCAGTGTATAGTAAATTCTTAATGTTACACACATGATTAAGGGGGTAGTGAGAAAAAGAGGAAAAGCCTTTCAAAACAAGAAGAGATAGATCCTGCAGCCTGCGCTGTCACAATCCCCCAGAGTAACCGCTTTCCAAACCCACTGCTGAAGTGCTGCAGGGCCCGGGGTGAACTTCCCTCCTCTAATGCCCTTTCCTAGAATATGGCTCTATTAAAAGACTTAGCGAGTCAGCACCACAGCGGATACTCCATTTCCTCCCTGGGCCCATTCTTGAGAGGTCAGGCCCCACTGACTTCCCATTTCCCATCTATGGTCACAGTTCACTGTTCCTCCCCCCATCACAAGGAGTGACCAGGACGATTACATCACTTGCCTCCTACCCCTTCTGCCAGTTTTGCAACGGAGAAAGATCACACTCTCTGCTCATGTGTGAATCTGTCAGACAGCTAGCCTGGCGCAAAGAAATTACTCTGGATTTCCCTTTGAGTGTTTCTTTCTTTCTTTGTTTTTTATAGATAAATGATAGGTTTATATAAAGCTGCAGATTTCTCATGACAACACTGTAAAATGGACAGTAAAGAAATGGAGCCCGACTTCTGAGGATAAAAAGCTTAGAGCGTAACAGACAAGCGCTCAAACCCAGTCAAGTTAACTCCAAAGTTTGGTCTTTAAATTTGAGCCAGAGTTTATTCCAGACTTGTGATTTCAGTATAGTTCTTTTCTCATTGCTGATGGTAACACCCCAAATCTCCTTCCTGAAGAAGGAAGGGGTGAGAATAAAGACACAGTGGGTATGAGTTTTCACATGTGACAGAGAAAATCCCAACTTCCTGATTAGGACAGACTTCTGCAAACTTATTCCTAGGAGGCTGTGTAAAAGAAAGACATCTAGTGAACTCTTGTGTGTTCAAACCATAATGTAATAAGAAAAGTCGCTTTATTTATTCAGAACAGCAAGGCTGATGGATGATGCAGCAAAAGTAAGAATGAGAAATGACCAAGGGAACTCACTAACCAAAGTGTGAAGGTCATTGGTGCCTTGAAACTTCCACTGGCCTTTGGAAATTAAAAGTTATTGTAATAATTTCATTTTCTTCTAGTTGTGAATTACTGTATCTAACAAAGTCTCCATAGATTCATATATAAAAAGCACTTGGAATCACTCAAGTCAAACCAGAAAGCTTTGGATAGCTAAGTAAATATAAATTTCAAATTCAGAAACTTGAAAATGTTCTTACCCCCAAAATAAAAAGTGTGCTCACTTTTTTGTAGTCAGAAGGATACAAGTCAAAATTAAAATGACATCACTTTGTCTAATAAGATTGGCTTTAAGGCAGTCTAAAGGACACACTCTTATTCAGAGCAAAGAATTCATAAAATGGTTTTTACTGGGTGCTCAGTGGGTCGTGTGAGCCACTGTAAATGTCCTGCATTTGTTCTCACAGTTTAATCTCCCTGCAGCTTTGTGAAATAGCTATAGCTTTCAAAGCTGGCTTCAAGATGAAAAAATTACCTCAGGGCAGAGGATATTAAGTAACTTGCTTAGGGTCATGTTGTAGGGGGCTGCCTGTTGATTTCCCGACTGACCAAACTCCCGAAATAACCACACAAAAACTATATTATTTGCAATACTGTTTGGCCAACAGCTTAAGCGCATTTCCAGCTACCTCTTATATCCTAGACTAACCCATCTTCATTAATCTGTGTATCGCCATGTGGCTGTTGCTTACCAGTAAAATTTCGGCATGTCTGTCTCTAGCCGCAGCTCTGTGGTTTCTCTTTGACTCTGCCCTCTTTCTCGCAGCATTCAGTTCAGTTTTCCCCACCTATCTCAGCTCTGCCTTGCACAGGCATAAGACAGTTTCTTTATTAACCAATGGTCTTTACAGCAAACAGAGGGGAATCCCACAGTGTCAAACGGCTTTATAAAATGCCTAGCACATTATACAGCATAAGTTTTAAAATGCAAGTGACTTTTGGCCCATTAATTATCATTTTAATGGTTAGGTAGTGTAGAGATAACCTATAGAAAAGGCAGCTTACTCCAGCATTCCCTTGAAATAGCAATTTATAATAGTAAATGCTATAAACAAAGTGTTCAAAACAATTGAGAAAATTTCTATTATTTATTCAACAAAATTATTTGAAATTTTCTAAACTGTGTTAAGGAAGAGTTTTAATAATAGGACAAAACGGGGGCAGGCGGTGAGTGCAAAGGGACGGGAATCCCTTTGTTCTGATAGCCGGCCTGCAGCAAGCTAAGACCGCAGGCACGGAGTCTTCTGACCAGCGAGGGGCTCTGATCCTGTGGAGGGGTGAGTGTGTTGACCGCCATACGAGTCCGGTTAGATACACACGGTATTCCCGCCATCCTTATCTCCCTGACTGCTCCAAAGGGGCAGCTTCCCCCAGCTAATCCCTCTCTCCTGCTACGCCATCCCAGCTTTCGGCCTCGAACCCCTCCTCTCCTCTCTCCCTTTTTCGGGGCTTAAACTCCTCCATCTCAGACGGGGTGGGCACCGCGGCCCGGGGCAGGCGGTGAGTGCAAAGGGACAGGAGTCCCTTTGTTCTGATAGCCTGCCTGCAGCAAGCTAAGACCGCAGGCACGGAGTCTTCTGACCAGCGAGGGGCTCTGATCCTGTGGAGGGGTGAGTGTGTTGACCGCCATACGAGTCCGGTTAGGTACACACGGTATTCCCGCCATCCTTATCTCCCTGGCTGCTCCATAGGGGCAGCTTCCCCCAGCTAATCCCTCTCTCCTGCTACGCCATCCCAGCTTTCGGCCTCGAACCCCTCCCCTCCTCTCTCCCTTTTTCGGGGCTTAAATTCCTCCATCAGCCGGGGTGGGCACCGCGGGTCGGGACAGGTGGTGAGTGCAAAGGGAAGGAAGTCCCTTTGTTCTAATAGCCTGCCTGCAGCAAGCTAAGACTGCAGGCAAAGTGATTCCTGGATAGCAAGGGACACTAATCCAGTAGAAGAAGACCCAGCGGAGGAAAGAGCCATTGGAGAGCATCTGAAGGAAGAGATGGGCAGGCGCCAAGGCAAGAATTCCTCCAACAATCTGAAAAACAACATGAAAACACCAGATCCCAGCGATCTTATGACAGAAGGACTGGAACGCCCTATTCCGGAAGAAGTGGAAAACAGTGTCATTATGAAAGCAATAGAGTCTCTTAAACAGGGTATGAATAACTCACTTAAAGAAATAGAAGACAAATATAACAAAAAGATGGAAGAAATGAGTAAAGAAATGGAAGACAAATATAACAAAAAGGTTGAAGAAATGAGTAAATTCGTAAATGATACCCTGGGAAAACAAGAAAAAGCAATCAAACAGGTAATGGAATCAGTTCAAGAATTGAAAACTGAAATGGAGGCAGTGAGGAAAACACAATCCGAGGGCCGGCTGGATATGGAAAATCTAGGTAAACGAACGGAGACTACAGAATCAAGTTTAACCAATAGAATACAAGAGATAGAAGAACGAATCTCAGATTATGAAGACACCATAGAGAAAATAAACGCCCTGACCAAAGAAAACAGCAAATCCAACAAATTCTCATCACTAAACATTCAGGAAATATGGGACATAATAAAAAAACCAAATATAAGAATAATAGGAGTAGAAGAAGGAGAAGAATTGCAGATCAAAGGTCCAGAAGATATATTCAACAAAATTATAGAAGAAAACTTTCCCATCCTAAAGAGGGATATTCCTATGAAGGTGCAAGAAGCATACAGAACACTGAATAGATTGGATCAGAAAAAAACATCCCCTCGCCATATAATAATCAAAACACAAAGCAGTCAGATTAAAGAAAGGATATTAAGAGCTGCAAAGGAAAAAGGTCAAGTAACCTATAAAGGTAAACCTATCAGACTTACACCAGACTTCTCTATGGAAACCATGAAAGCCAGAAGGTCCTGGATAGAGGTACTGCAGAAATTAAGGGACCATGGATGCAAGCCCAGACTACTTTACCCAGCCAAGCTTTCGTTCACTATCAACGGAGAAAACAAAATATTCCAGGATAAAAACAAATTTAAACAATACGTAACTACTAATCCAGTCTTACAGAGAATACTAGAAGGAAAATTACATCCCAAGGAATCCAACATTGCCAACACTGACTACAATAATTCAGACATCTAGCGACCCTTCACTAGCACAATTCAAAGAAGGAAAACTCATACACACTATTACCCCCCCCCAAAAAAATGACTGGAGTCAACAACCAATGGTCATTAATATCTCTTAATATCAATGGACTCAATTCACCTATAAAGAGGCACAGACTTAGAGATTGGTTACGAAAACAGGATCCAACATTCTGCTGTTTACAAGAAACACACCTCAACCACAAAGACAGACACCTACTCAGAGTAAAGGGTTGGGAAAAGGTTTTCCAAGCAAATGGACCTAAGAAACAAGCGGGTGTGGCCATTCTAATATCTAACAAAATCTACTTCAAACTAAAATCAATCAGAAGAGATGGAGATGGACATTTCATACTCATAACAGGAACAACTCATCAGAAAGAAGTCTCAATCCTGAATATCTATGCCCCTAATGTAAAGGCACCCACATATGTAAAAGAAACTCTTCTAGAACTCAAGGCAGTCATCAAACCTCACACGCTAATAGTAGGAGACTTCAACACTCCTCTCTCACCAATGGACAGGTCAATCAGACAGAAACCAAACAGAGAATTAAGAGATTTATTGGAGGTATTGAATCAAATGGACTTAACAGACATCTATAGAACACTCCACCCAAATAGGAAAGAATATACCTTCTTCTCTGCAGTTCATGGAACCTTCTCGAAGATTGACCACATACTTGGTAATAAAGCAAACTCCCACAGATACAAAAAAATATTAGTAACCACCTGTGTCTTGTCAGATCACCATGGATTAAAATTAGAATTCAACAACAATGCTACCCCCAGGAAGTCAACAAACTGATGGAAGTTGAACAGTCAACTACTAAATCACCCCTGGGTCAGGGACGAAATTAAGAAAGAAATTAAAGTCTTCCTTGAATTTAATGAAAACAAAGACACAACATACTCAAACCTATGGGACACTATGAAAGCAGTGCTAAGAGGAAAGTTCATAGCAATAGGTGCCCAACTAAAGAAAACGGAGAAAGCACACATTGGAGACCTAACAGCACACTTGAAAGCTCTAGAAAAAAAAGAAGCTGATTCACCCAGGAGGAGTAGAAGACTGGAAATAATCAAACTGAGGGCTGAAATCAACAAAATAGAAACAGAGAAAACAATCCAAAGAATCAATGAATCAAAAAGCTGGTTCTTGGAGAAAATCAACAAGATTGACAAACCCCTATCCAAACTAATCAAACGGCAGAGGGAGCACATGCAAATTAATAGGATCAGAAATGAAAAGGGGTATATAACCACAGACACAGAGGAAATTCAGAGAATCATTAGATCTTACTACGAAAGTTTATATGCCACGAAGTTGGAAAATGTAAAAGAAATGGACATTTTTTTAGATAAGTACCATATACCAAAGTTGAACCAAGAACAGGTGAACAATCTAAATAGACCTGTTAGTCGTGAAGAATTAGAAGCTGTTATCAGAAATCTCCCTGCCAAAAAAAGCCCAAGACCAGATGGTTTCAATGCAGAATTCTACCAGAACTTCCAGGAAGAGCTAATTCCTATACTCCTTAATGTATTCCATAATATAGAAACAGAAGAGTCATTGCCAAACTCCTTTTATGAAGCTACAGTTACCTTAATACCAAAACCACATAAAGACACAACCAAGAAAGAGAATTACAGGCCAATCTCACTCATGAACATCGACTCGAAAATTCTCAATAAAATCCTGGCAAACCGAATCCAGGAACACATTAGAAAAATTATTCATTATGATCAAGTAGGCTTCATCCCAGAGATGCAGGGCTGGTTCAACATACGCAAATCTATCAATGTAATCCATCATATAAATAAACTGAAAGAAAAAAACCATATGATCATTTCATTGGATGCTGAAAAAACATTTGACAAAATTCAACACCCATTTATGATAAAGGTGTTGGAGAGACTGGGGATACAAGGATCATACCTAAATATAATAAAAGCAATATACAGCAAGCCGACAGCTAACATCAAATTGAATGGAGAGAAACTCAAAGCCTTTCCCCTAAAATCAGGAACGCGACAAGCCTGTCCACTCTCTCCATACCTCTTCAATATAGTGCTTGAAGTTCTAGCAATAGCAATAAGACAACATAAGGAGATCAAAGGGATTCGAATCGGAAAGGATGAAGTTAAACTTTCGTTATTTGCTGACGATATGATAGTGTACATAAGTGACCCCAAAAACTCTACCAAAGAACTCCTACAGCTGATAAACACCTTTAGTAATGTGGCAGGATACAAGATCATCTCCAAAAAATCAGTGGCCCTCCTATACACAAAGGATAAAGAAGCAGAGAGGGAAATCAGAGAAACATCACCTTTCACGATAGCCACAAATAGCATAAAATATCTTGGGGTTACTCTAACCAAGGAAGTGAAAGACCTATTTGACAAGAACTTTAAGTCTTTGAAGAAAGAAATTGAGGAGGATACCAGAAAATGGAAAGATCTCCCTTGTTCTTGGATTGGGAGGATCAACATAGTAAAAATGGCAATTCTACCAAAAGCAATCTATAGATTCAATGCAATCCCCATCAAAATCCCATCAAACTTCTTCACAGACCTTGAGAAAACAATAATCAAGTTTATATGGCAAAACAAAAAACCC